GTGTTGAAATATGAGAACATCAATGGAAATAATGTTCATCCCAGACTTCCTGGTGGAAGATTCAATTATTCTCTGTTTGACTGTCGAGTAATGTCTCATGTTGACTTTGCCAGGCTGTATGTTGAGAACTACATGGCCCACTTCAATGCCTTTGACGACCACTGTGATGCTTCTGCTGTGTTGACGTTACTTGGTGGGGTCCCTGCATTCTCTGCACCTGTACAAACTGCTGCAGCTGATGTCAGAATGGGGAGGAATGATTGGGCACACTGTGTCTTCAGCAAATGGGATCAAGTCAAGTATCAACAAAGTTTTATTGACATGGAACACCTAGTGAGAGTCATGTCCCTGCCAGCTGCAGATGAAGGAAAACTTCTTGGAGAACTAAAAGACTGGGAAACTAAAGGTAATGTAGGTAAAATGGACACTCAGTGAATCCTGATATCTTGAACCACCCAATAACTTTAACTAAAATTTGTTCCCTTCCACTATCGAACACTGTAATTCTCCCCGATTTCTCAAACTACCCAAATTTTCAAACTAATTTTTGTTTTCCTCGGAGTTTTGAAAAATCAGAATTCCACTGCATGTTAAAAAAAGTTAAGCGTGTGTGAGAAATGTGATTGATGACCAAGCTTAACTACTGAGTTTTGGTGGAGAACTTTTTTTAGCTTATGCACTGTAAAATTAATATGTTAATCTAACTCTTTTCAGTAAATGTAAGTCTTTTTAATTAGTTAGTTATTTACTTTTGATACAGTTTAATGCATTTTCATGGAGTAAACAACAAAGACTACCAGCCTTACCTTTGCAGTCAGTGGTATTTAGATGTGCATGTGCACCAAGATTCCACATGCTCTTGGATCAAAGTGCCTTTTAGTGGTTTGCTTGGAGTGAGAGTTTCCTTAAGCACGAGCATTTCTTCAAGTGTGGGGACTTTTTTCAATTTAGGCTCTTTCCCCACCACTACATACCCTCCTTCACATTCTACTGTTTTATTAGTGTGATGGGTGCCTGTATTTCCCCTCTGTGTCAGGGCCCTTGACTGGGTTGGCAGGAGTAGCTTGCCATGGGAGCAGTCTCCATCTCGAAGCTGGCTGCCAATGGTGGATGAGCTCCAGTGGATTTCTCAAGCACCCAACCTCCATTTAACAATGCAGTTATTAATGATATATATTGTTATTTGATAACTTAGTGGCAGGTTCACATCAGCTCTCCTGCTTAGCTGCCTGTATTAGTAGCCTACATTGTTAAATAAAGGATGTATTTGTATGCATGCATTTATAATTACATTTATCTTATGGGCTGTACATGTACAGTCACTGTATATTTGTGTAAACCAAAAAGGTTGTAATACTGCCTTGACTGTAATACATGTATCTAAATCATGTGCTACAACAAATACATATAAATAAAATAAGAGTAAAAGTGCTAAAATTATTTACCACATAATTTTATATAGTTTGAAACCATAATTTGGTAGTCACAAAACCTCCCTGCATACCCTCTCTAATCTAAATGATCACCTCTCTTAAGTATATGCTCTTCCAAACTACCAAATTTTTTCTTGTCAAAAATTGTCACTATAGTTAGCACCTCTCATATGCAACCAGTTTTTACAGACAACTCAGGACTTTCGTAAGGGCTGATGGTTCATGACTGTCTTTTTGATATTGACATTACAATGGGCAGCCATTGGGTAACAAGATGCCTTACAAGTTCTTATATGAAGATAAAGTTTGTCCTTACATGAGGGCATTAATTATTTCCCATCCTCAATGTTTCTGGGTGACTCTTGGTTCATAAAGACAGCAATTAGTGTCACTATTTGGAAATCACACTGGAGGCAATGAAGTCTTTTCTTATTAGTTATTATATGAGTCAAGATGTGTGTGAAAATAATGTCAATTGTCAAAATCAGCCAATCAGTGTTAAGGATGACGATATGCTCTTGTCGTCAGTTCAGTTTACAACATAGCCATGTAGCAATGCTTTTGTTGTCAAAATAAAGTTCTGTTGAGTTTATCAAGTTTACTGAACCTGATTCAGACAATCTGTTCTTTTGAAAGCCTTTTTGGGTTTACATATGCATTTGTGCATCCGTTAGGCCTCTGAAAGGACTACAGGTTATGACTCATATTTAGGCCCTGTGCAGTCTGACCTCTCGTAAGTGACCACCTCCCATGAGTGACCACATTTGGCATTTGGGGTGATCAGGTAACTCCGTTAGGTCTCAAAGATGTTCTTTGGACTTATTCAATCTATTCAAAGAGGTTACTACCCTAAAATATATTTTTTAAATACCTTTTGGACAGAAAACACAGGTGTGTGGTGGGACTTTGGCATAATACCTTCAGCAGAAAATTGTCTCTCTAAACTACCATTATAGTAATCATTAAATTGGCAGTGATCTTCTTTATTTCCTGTTTGGCAGGAACACATCTCTGCATGAATTCCCCTATAGACCCAACATTGTTACAACTGGTTCAACAAGAACTTAAGTCACTACAAGATGATGTGAAAAGCATGTCTGTAGAACTTGAAGATGAGAAGAGAAAGGTACAACATGAACTGAAAAGTGTTGCAACAACTCTAGAAGACATGGAACAGAGGGTGCAAATGCTGGAGACTGGTCAACAGACCTTAGAGCATCGTAGTGTATTATTTGAGGACAGAATGGATAATTTTGAAGGTGACTTATTAAATCTTAAGTAATGATTACTATTCATTAAATATTTAAAAAAATATTTGTTGGAGAAAGTAATGGCTGGAGCTGGGAACTTATAGTAAATTGATACAACAATAATAAACTGACAACTGTTCAAAATGCTGCATACAGACGATGCTCACAAAGTTGTATGAACACATTGATATATAAGTATAACTCACCAAACTAAACATCCTATAAAAGCAACACAAAGTTTGGTTTTGGTACAAAGTGAAGGGTAGTTAAGAAGATGAACTACTAAACAACAACTGATAATAAAAAATCCCAATAAACCTCTTTGCCACGCCTCATTACAAGAATTTAAAAAATAAATACCTAGGATGGGTGGATGAGTTGGATTCAGAGACAAAATAGTACCAACACAGCCAATCCAAATTTGCAAGACTGACTCAAAATGAAACAAGAACCTGCTTAACCTGATACCAGGGGTGTAGGCTGGACAATTATTCCTCTGAGGACGCTTGTGCCAGCCCAAAGGGGGTAACATGACTTGTGGACAAAAGAATATACTTGGAAAAGCTTACTTTGTTTATTTAATTTCTGTCAGCAACAGTTGTATTTTTTCAAATAAACAGAGTAGTTTAGTTTTGAACCTGTTTTATAAAAAACTGTGAGTTGTTTGATGGGTTTCTCACAGAGTTATATTTTTTTGTTTTGCGAGTGTTCATTTCTATGTCATGTTTACATTTTGCAACGTTTATGTGTAATACAGGAGCTGTAAACCAGAGGATACAGAAACTTGAGAGCAGTAAGCAGAGCACAGAAGACAAAGTGCATCATCTTCAAGGTGATTAAAGTATTTAAATTATAACTTTTTCTTGTAAAATTAACATGTGCTAAAAAAACCTGTTAGTTGTTTGATGAGTTGCTCTCAGAGTTATATTTTTTTGCAAGAGTTCTTTTTCATGTCATATTTACATTTGATAACGTTTATGTGTAATACAGGAGTTGTAAACCAGAGGATAGAGATACTTGAAAGCATTAAGCAGAGCACAGAAGACAAAGTGCATCATCTTCAAGGTAAAATTAACACGTTCAATAAAAAAAACTTTTAGTTGTTTGATGAGTTGTTCTCAGAGTGATTTTTTTTTGCAAGTGTTCTTTTTCATGTCATGTTTACATTTTGTAACGTGTATGTGTAATACAGGAGCTGTAAACCAGAGGATGGAGAAACTTGAGAGAAGTAAGCAGAGCACAGAAGACAAAGTGCATCATCTTCAAGGTGATTAAAGTATTTAAATGAGAACTTTTTTTCTTGTAAAATTAAAAGAGAATTATATTAAATTTGTTTAGAATGTTAGAGGAATAGACATTGTACTGGTACTCAGGTCATGATCACGTTTTTACCCCTCCCACGCACCAACCCATACCCAACCCGACCCTACCTTACCGAGAAAATGTAATTATTAGGACGAGGTTCCGCTCTCTTTAGCACGTTGTTTAGTCTGATCTGATAGATGCCAGTCCACATTTTTGTAGTATTGGTATGCAACCACTGAACATTAGTATCAAATTCAGAGTCATATTTGACAAACATTCAACAATGTATTCAAAGGGTATTATTAATATACCCAATAAAAAATGACAGTTAAAAGTACTCTGACGCGCTAGTGTGTCACAATGAAGACGTGCCACGTTGCTTAGAAACTAAATCGTCAAAAACCGCCAGGTCGATCAATTCTCGGAGAACGGATTTTACCATCAACTGGCAATTGTTCCCTCAACCATGTTAAAGTTGAGCATAGAGTCTTTTATTATACAAGACAATCGTGGATATACGTGTACTTTTTAATATGTGATCTGATTTGGGTGAAGATCTTACATGTAAGATTTATTAATATTCTTTTGTGTCATGAATAACGATTTTATTTTCTGGATATCATCTTACAGAACAAGTGGAAGACTTAGCATCATCAAGAAAATCCGATGAAACTACGTCATGTCAAGACAATCCCATGTCAACTGGTGAGTTTTGTCACAATTCTGCATTACAAGTGGGTTATTGGTTTGACGTATGTTAAGTTCTACTTTCACTGGATAAAAGTATGAACAATTCTCGTCACAAGATGTGGATGACCTCTTTTATTTTCCTATTGATGTCCAACGGTCTCCTTGTCTCCTTGTGGTTGGCCTTGGACGGGGCACTAGCTGCCTCTCCGAAATAATGCTCCCTCAAATCGGGAATCACCCACCATGTTTAACCACTTGTCACTTGGCTGAATGAACATGAAGCCACGTGACAAGGCGGAGCTCACTTTGCTGAAGAGGACCGTAAGATGCGGTCGAAAGCTTCGATGCGTTAAATTTCAGGTCTTGTGACGAGAATTATGATTATTTTATATCAAACCAAAGTTGAGGCGGAAGTATTTGTGCGTACTCTTTGGATTATTTTATTTATTGTGGACGCTATGTAGGTGTTTTTATGACACAGTTATTTGTTTTTCTAGCCTGTCCGGAGAAACTTGTAGAACTCATCAAACGAGACTACAAAGGTGCTGTTCTTTGTCCATTTCCATGGTGCGAGGATGAGCTACAACTGGAACTGTCGAACGTCTTCACAAGATTGAAAATCATTAGCAAGAAAAAAGAACGAGCATTGCTAACAGAGGACATCGTCCAAATGGCGGAAGTGTTTAAACCACTTGCCGAATGTGGCAAACCAAGAGTGGGGCTGATTGAGGGGCAGCCTGGAATGGGTAAAACCACTTACTGTCAGAAGCTTGCATATGATTGGTCCGTGGCGGGAATTCCACCTGAAGCTTCGTTTCCCAAAGTGGAGATGCTGCTCCTGCTTAAGTGCCGTGACATGAAGAATGCTGACATTGAGGAAGCTATAAATGATCAGCTGCTACCACAAGATGCAGACGAGAAGGAGAAGGAAAACTTCTTCCAATTTGTTCGCTGCAATCAGCCTAGGATCCTATTAGTTCTTGATGGACTAGATGAGTTGCCTGATGATCTATTCCAGGGTTTCTTACCCTTGATTCGAGGCAGAGTGTTCCCCATGACTTATCTCTTGTTCACAGCTCGCCATGAGGCAGGAATGAAAGTGCGACGATACTGCGACACTCTTTTTGAAATTGTTGGTTACACTGATGAAGATGCTGATAGTTATATTACAAAGTATTTCGCCAGTCACGAGGATCCGAACCTTGCTAACAAAGTGATAGGAAGATTAAAAAGTGACAGACAGCTCAGGGAATTGACTACTAATCCACTGAATACGGCTATGTTATGCCTTCTCTTTGAAGATGCAAAAGGAGTTCTTCCATCAAACAGAACCAAATTGTATGACGAACTTGTTTCATGTGCTCTGAGGAGGTATTTCGCAAAGAAGGGTGTTCCTTTGGATACAAGAGATCCTGTCAAGACATGTTCAGATCAGCTCAATCAGTTGGGAAAGGTGGCTCTCGAAGCTCTTAAAGACGATCGAATGCATTTCAGTGAAAATGAGGTGAAATGCCAGTCAATTGATTTTCTTAGATTATGTTTTCTTTCCCGAGAAGCTAGTGCAAGCAAACTCAGGCCAATGCCTTGCTATGCATTTACACACAAAACCTTTCAGGAATATTTTGCTGCGCACCACTTGGCCCATCAGCTTCTAACTGGCGACAAAGAACAAGCTGACGCGCTGCTTCCTCAGCTAACTCCTGTTTTCAAGTACTGGCATGTGTGGGAATTTCTATTGACGATGGTAGCAAGTAAGAGTGATGGTACAGCAGCTATGGTAATTTCATGTTTCTGTGCTGCTCTTTGCCGCAGAGAAGCGGAATTGGAAGACGAGCAAGACAGTGATTCCGATGATGACGGTGATTACGAGGTCCACGATGATTACGATTTCAACATTTGTGAAGACACTCTGGATGATTTCCCCATCCTTTTACTCTTTACTGCTGCTGAAGAGACCTTGATTAATCTTTTGGACGAAGTTTTCGGACTTATTTTAGCATCTTCAGGTGGCACGAATGAACTAGGGGACTGCCAGAAGAAAATGGTACGAGCCCTAGCGGAATGCTTCCCAATCCACAAGTTATGTACTGTTCACAGCAATCCTCGCATCCTCTCCGAGTACCTGAAATCTAATCATTCACTGACGCATTTACGGTGGGACGATGCATTGGATGAGTCAGCACTAGCAACCATTGAACATGTTCTCCAGTCTAACTGCCCACTTAAATACTTAGATCTGAGAGGATTGGGTGACAAATGCTTAGGTATCTCCGGACTTCGAGTACTCGCGCGGGCTCTTAATGCAAACTGTTCTTTAACGTATCTAAATCTATCGAATTCTTCCTTTGGTGATGCTGGAGCAACATGTCTTTCACAGGTTCTCCGTTCGAAGGACACTTTAACTCATTTAAATTTGAATTTTACTTGGATCTGTAATTCAGGAGCAAAAGAACTTTCAGGAGCTCTTCAATCGAATCGCAGTTTGACTCATTTAAATTTACAGGCCAATCTCATTGGCAATCCTGGAGCTGAAGATTTTGCCAGAGCTCTGCAATCCAGTTGTGCACTAATGTATTTAGATCTCAGCAATAACAGGGTCGGTGATTCAGGAGCTCAAGCCCTTGCTAAGGCCTTGGAATCCAACCGTAGCCTAACATTTTTGGATCTGGGACATACACAGAACGCAGATGAAGTGACAACCATGGCTTTACGGATACCACGCTTCCTCGAGTTACTGCGAGGTAGGGACCTGAAGGCATTTCAGATTGGTGATTCAGGGGCAGCAGCAATTGCGCAAGCTCTTCGTTCAAATTGTGTGCTTACTCGTCTCAATCTTCAGAATAATAGGATCAGTGACCTAGGAGCTACAGCGATTGGGGAAGCTCTTCAGTCAAACTGCACCCTTACACACTTGCAACTGAGAGGCAACAGAATCTGCGATGTAGGAGCATCACATCTTGCGCACGCCATTCGGGTTAACCGTCGTCTTGTGAATTTAGATCTGAGAAACAACGCAATAATTATGCCTGGTGGAGCTACTGGAGCTGCTCTTTCACAGGCATTGCAATGCAATAGTGTACTAACCCATTTAGATTTGAGATGTAACTTTGGTGCACATCAGGCTGCAATGGCACTTGCTGAGAGTCTTCCATCTAATTGCACTCTCACACATGTAGATTTGAGTACTAGCATGATCTCATCTTGTGGTGCTGTGGCTCTTGCAAAGGCGTTACAGTTGAATCGCACCTTAAGTCATTTAGATCTGAAGTGTAATCGTATTGGTGATTTAGGAGCTACGGAATTTGTAGAGACCCTTCAGTGTAATACTACGTTAATCTTTTTAGACCTGAGGTATAACCGAATTGGCGAGTCAGGAGGGAAGAAGCTTCATGGTCTCTTGCGTGGAAAGATTCTTGGGTCCAATCGTAAACTATTGTATCACTGGAGTGAGAATTGCGATCCTTGATCAGTTACATCTGGGCTTAAACCGGAGAATTCGAGAGCGTGAAAAGCGCCATTGAAGTCATGCCTAACAGTAAACAATCTACTAAAACCGTTTGTCTTGCGTGAGGAAACATTTTACTCGAACTCAGTCGTAACAAACTTCTGATGTTTCGCCAGGAAAGTGAACAAATATTGAAAGTTTGTTGGTGAGTCATCTTAAGGCAGTTTTCTGCGCACGAGGTGGTGCGAATCGATTTCGTTGCAGACAACTGTTCTTCAAATTGGAGTCCGTACCCTGTCCAAGGGTACTTATTTCAGATGAACACCTTTCTCGAGCGATCTTTATATCTTATTTACTAAACGGTTTTCACCCGACTGTCGAAAATAATGTTTCCTTTTTTTTTCACGTAATGAGCTCTAGCATTAGTTATATGATAGTTACTCCTTGAGATCCAAATACAATACCATTTGAAGCTGGAATGATCGGAGAAATCTGCCTCAACAAGTTGTATCAGCGAGAGGCGACGACGCCATTTTCGAAAATTTTGTGCATTTGCGCGCTTCTTTCGCCGTGACGTCATAATGGCCATGATCATAGGGTCAGCCAAATCTGACGTGTTCACCTCTCCCTCCTGGTCTGATCTAATAGATGCCAGTCCACATTTTTGTAGTATTGGTGTGCAACCGCTGAACATTAGCATCAAATTCAGAGTCATATTTGGCAAACATTCAACAATGTATTCAAAGGGTATTATTAATATGCCCAATAAAATATGACAGTTAAAAGTACTCTTACTCGCTAGTGTGTCACAATGAAGACGTGCTACGTTGCTTTGAAACTAAATCGTCAAAAACCGCCAGCTCGATCAATTCTTGGAGAATGGATTTTGCCATCAACTGGCAATTGTTCCCGCAACCATGTTAGAGTTGAGCATTGAGTCTTTTAATCTACAAGACAATCGTGGACATACGTGTACATTTCTTAAAATGTGGTCAGATTTGATTTAGATGAAGATCTTAAGATTTATTAATATTTTTTTGTGTAATAATGATTTTATTTTCTGGATGTCATCTTACAGAACAAGTGGAAGACTTGGCATCATCAATAAAATCCGATGAAACTGCGTCATGTCAAGACAATCCCATGTCAACTGGTGAGTTTTGTCACAATTCTGCACTACAAGTGGTTTATTGGAGCAAGGTACACAGAAAAAATCATAGCTGAGATCAATACGATTTGCAGTACGTGGCATATGTTTATCCAGTTTTTTTCATCGTACGTTGCAGAAAAGCAAGCCTTGAATAGCTCTTTGAAGTATGTTAAGTTCTTCTTTCCCTGGATAAAAATAAGAACAATTCTCGTCACAAGATGTGGATGACCTTCATTTTCCTATTGATGCCGAACAGTCTCCTTGTCTCCTTGTGTTTGGCCTTGGACGGAGCCCTAGCTGTCTCTCCTAAATAATGCTCCCCCAAATCGCGAATTACCCGCCATGTTTAACCACTTGTTGTCACTTGGCTGAATGAACATGAAGCCACGTGACAACGCGGAGCTCTTTTTGCTGAAGAGGACCGTAAGATGCGGTCGAAAGCTTCGATGCTTTACATTTGAGGCCTTGTGTCGAGAATTATGATTATTTTATATCAAACCAAGGTTGAGGCCGAATTATTTGTGCGCACTCTTTGGATTATCTTATTTATTGTGGACGCTATGTAGGTGTTTTCATGACACAGTTCTTTGTTTTTTTAGCCTGTCCGGAGAAACTTGTAGAACTCATCAAACGAGACTACAAAGGTGCTGTACTTTGTCCATTTCCATGGTGCGAGGATGAGCTACAACTGGAACTGTCGAACATCTTCACAAGATTGAAAATCATTAGCAAGAAAAAAGAACGAGCATTGCTAACAGATGACATCGTCCAAATGGCGGAAGTGTTTAAACCACTTGCAGAATGTGACAAACCAAGAGTGGTGCTGATTGAGGGGCAGCCTGGAATGGGTAAAACCACTTATTGTCAGAAGCTTGCATATGATTGGTCCGTGGCGGGAATTCCACTTGAAGCTTCCTTTCCCAAAGTGGAGATGCTGCTTCTGCTTAAGTGCCGTGACATGAAGAATGCTGACATCGAAGAAGCTATAAATGATCAGCTGCTACCACAAGATGGAGACAAGAAAGAGAAGGAAAACTTCTTCCAATTTGTTCGCTGCAATCAGCCTAGGATCCTATTAGTTCTTGATGGACTAGATGAGTTGCCTGATGATCTATTCCAGGGTTTCTTACCCTTGATTCGAGGCAGAGTGTTCCCCATGACTTACCTCTTGTTCACAGCTCGCCATGAGGCAGGAATGAAAGTGCGACGATACTGTGACACTCTTCTTGAAATTGTTGGCTACACTGACGAAGATGCTGACAGTTATATTACAAAGTATTTCGCCAATCACGAGGATCCGAGCCTTGCCAACAAAGTGATAGGAAGATTAAATAGTGACAGTCAGCTCAGGGAATTGACTACTAATCCACTGAATACCGCTTTGCTATGCCTTCTCTGTGAAGATGCAAACGGAGTTCTTCCTTCAAATAGAACCAAATTGTATGATGAACTAGTTTTATGTGCTCTGAGGAGGTATTTTGCAAGGAGGGGTATTCCTTTGGACGCGGGAGATCCTGTCGAGACATGCTCAGATCAGCTCGATCAGTTAGGAAAGGTGGCTCTCGCAGCTCTTAAAGGCGATCGAATGTATTTCAGTGAAGACGAGGTGAAATGCCAGTCAATTGACTTTTTAAGATTATGTTTTCTTTCTCGGGAAGCTAGTGCAAGCAAACTCAGGCCAATGCCTTGCTATGCATTTACGCACAAAACCTTTCAGGAATACTTCGCTGCATACCACTTGGCCCATAAGCTTCTAACAAGCAACAAAGAACAAGCTGACACACTGCTACTTCATCTTACTCCCGTTTTCAAGTACCGGCAAGTGTGGGAATTTCTTTTGGGAATGGTAGCAAGTAAGAGTGATGACACATCAGCTATGATAATTTCGTGTTTCTGTGCAGCATTATGCCGTGGAGGAACAGAAGAGGAAGACGAGGAAGACAGCGATTCCGATGATGACTCAGACTGTGATTACGAGATCGACGATGATCACGATTTCAATATTTGTGAAGACACACTGGACGTTTTCCCGATCTTCTTCTTTCTCACTGAGGACGAGGAGACCTTGGTTAATCGTTTAATCGACGTTTTCCGACTAATTTTATCGTGTTCAGGTGGCACGAGTGAACTTGTAGACTGCCAGAAGAAAATGGTACGAACCCTAGCGGAATGCTTTCCAATCTACAGGTTACGTACTGTCGAAATTAATCCTTGCATCCTCTCCGAGTACCTGAAGTTTAATCATTCACTGACACATTTACGCTGGAATGATGCATTGGATGAGTCAGCGCTAGCAACCATTGAACATCTTCTTCAGTCTAATTGCACACTCAAGTACTTAGATTTGAGAGCATTGGTTGGGTTTGGCTCCAGCGGGGTACAAGTGCTCGCACGGGCTCTTAATGCAAACTGTACTTTAACATTTTTAAATTTGACGAATCATATCCTTGGTAATACTGGAGTAACATGTCTTTCGCAGGTTCTTCGTTCGAATCGCACATTAACTCATTTGAATTTGCAGTCTAATTTCATCTCTGATGTAGGAGCAAAAGAACTTTCAGAGGCTCTTCAGTCGAATCGCAGTTTGACTCATTTGAATTTACACACCAATCTCATTGGCAATTCTGGAGCTGAAGATTTTGCCAGAGCTCTCCAATCCAGTTGTGCACTAATGTATTTAGATCTGAGCGATAACAAGGTCGGTGATTCAGGCGCTCAAGCCCTTGGTAAGGCCTTGGAATTCAACCGTACCCTAACAGTTTTGGATCTGGGACGATCAACAAACACAGCTCTCATGGCGTCCATGTTTTTTCCGTTCGGAAGCCTCTCCCAGTCTGGAGGTAGGAACCTGAAATCATTTGAGATTGGTGATTTAGGGGCAGCAGCTATTGCGCAAGCTCTTCGTTCAAATTGTGTGCTTACTCGTCTAAATCTTCAGAATCATATGATCAGTGACCTGGGAGCTATAGCACTCGGGCAAGCTCTTCAGTCAAACTGCACTCTTACACACTTGCAACTGAGAGGCAACAGTATCAACTACGTAGGAGTATTGCATCTCTCACATGCCATCCGGGTTAACCGTCGTCTTGTGAATTTAGATCTGAGAGACAACGCCATAATTACCCCCGGTAGAGTTATTGGACCTGCTCTTTCACAGTCATTACGAACCAATAGTACACTAACGCATTTGGACTTGAGAGGTAATTGTGGCGCAGACGAGGTTGCAGTGGCAGTGGCTGAGAGTCTTCAGTGTAATTGCACTCTCACGCATGTAGATTTGACTGACACCACGATCACATCTTCTGGTGCTGTGGCTCTTGCAAAGGCGTTACAGTTAAATCGTACTTTAAGTCATTTAGATCTGAAGTGTAATCATATCGGTGATTTAGGTGCTGTGGCATTTGTACAGACCCTTCAGTGTAATACTACCTTAATCTTTTTAGACCTGAGGTATAACCGAATTGGCGAGTCAGGACGGAAGGAGCTTCATGATCTCTTGCTTGGAAAGATTCTTGGGTCCAATCGTAAACTATTGTATCATTGGAGTGAGAATTGCGATTCTTGATCAGTTACATCTGGGCTTAAACCGGAGAATTCGAGAGCTGGATGGTTTGTGAAAATCGCCATTGAAGTCATGGCTAACAGTAAACAATCTACTACCGTTTGTCATGCGTGAGGAAATGTTTTACTCGAACTCAGTCGTAACAAACTTCTGATGTTTTGCCAGGAAAGAGAACAAATATTGAAAGTTTGTTGGTGAGTCATCTTCAGGCAGTTTTCTGCGCGCGAGGTGGTCCGAATCGATTTCGTTGCAGACAAATGTTCTTCAAATTGCAGTCCGTACCCTGTCCAAGGGTACTTATTTCAGATGAACACCTTTTTCAAACGATCTTTATCTTATTTACTAAACGGTTTTCACCCGACTGTCGAAAATGTTTCCTTTTTTTTTTTCACGTAATGAGCTCTAGCATTAGTTATCAAATATTAGCACGTGCCCTAAAAGCCAGAGAAAATTTTTTTCTCCGTGCAGTAAGTAGTGAAACCAATCGTGACTTACGCTCCTTAAGTATTTATTGTTACGTCGTCTTTTTAAAATTTAATGAATTGTAAAGAAACCGATAAAAATAAGGGCTTTACTTTGATGGGAGTCTCATAGCGTGTGTTAACAATTATTAGATGACTTTGAATGTGATGGCGAGGAAAATCAAGACAGTTGGGTGTTAGCCTTCGGAAGAGCCAGCGGGGTTCTCCTATCTAGCTACGCTCTCGGAGAACTGTTCGCTTCTCGGAACGGATAATGTCCGCGGACAAATATCCGAGCATATTTCCGCGCAAAATGGAGGCTATTGTTTATTTAACCCCCTACCGCTTCATCTTCTCGCATGTAACAGTTGACTCGACAGTTATTCGCAGCTTTTTATTAGCTTTTATAGCAACCTGAGGAAGGCCTCCAGTGACAACGTAGTCAAGTTCTCGTACTCTCTCTGTCCCGCAACGCTACCCGACAGAGAGAGGGCTAGAACTGGGACTATGGACAACGGAGACCTCTTATCCCTGTATCTCATCAGTTTAGTGCAGTCAAATACCGGTATAAGTTGACCCATTGATGTGTATGTGCGGGGTGTGCGTGTCGGAGGTGCGGTGGCCTGATGATCAGCGTGCTAGATTGCGGATCAAGTGGTCTAGTAGGTATCCCCTTGCCTTTTTTAAGTCTTTGTTTTATTTGTTGCGTTATTTTTGTAAAGCAGACGAAAGAAAAGACAGTTGAAGCTCTCGTAAGCGACCACCTTGGAAATTCGAAAAAGTGCTCGCAACTAGAGCTGGTCGCTTACAAGAATGAGCTCTCGTAAGCGACCGCATGGTAAAACAATAGAGGGTGGCCGCTTACGAGAACTTCAGGAACTCATTAATAATTCATAAAGAAAAACAAAAGAAAGTTGTATTGCTTTATATCTGATATAGACAGTTATGGACACGGCTAAACTTAAGCGCAGTCTGCAGTTTCGTTATTGAGTCATATGTAAAAGACTCTGAGTGGTCGCTTACAGAGGCTTAAAGACAAGGGAAAAGTACAGTTGGGTAATCCCAAAAATGGTCGCGGTCGCTTAGGGGAGCGGTCACTTACGAGAGCCTTTCATTACAAAGTGTGGTCGCAAAGATTTCGCCATTCTCGTCCCCATAGCCCTTTTCGCTCCTCTTAGCCGGCGGGGCCTTAGTACGAAAATCGAAGAGCCCTTCAGGCCCTATCGCCTAAGAGGAGCGAAAAGGGACGAGAATTGCTGTTGGGAACCCTGGGGAGAAGATGGGTCACGTGATTATCGGAGGACATGAAAGTTGCATTGAACGTCGAATGTTTTGTCGCCTTTGTACATATTCTCCATAAGGTGATGGTATTTGATGCAGTTTTGAGCAATAATTCAGCGGTAAGTGTCTAGAGATGACAAGTAGATTCTTCGTTTCGTCTTACAATATTCTTTGGGATCTTGTTTATTCGATGGGTGAAAGAGACCGTTTCACGTTTGGAGGGGGATCGCCCAACAACGAACTCTTTATGGGATGTGTCGAAAACGAAGACCCAAAAACGTAGACCGAAGACCTAAACCCTGTGGTCTAAAACGAAGACCCACTGGTCTAAAACGAAGACCCTGTGGTCTAAAACGAAGACCCACTGGTCTAAAACGAAGACCCTGTGGTCTAAA